GATGCTTAGAAGCAATACCAATGTAATCGAACACAAAAGTCTAGGCTCTCATTTCAAGACTACCTAAAAAGTCATGGAGACCTACAGAAAAGGACAAAAGAAGCTGAAGTCATCTGGAGGCATTGATAAAGCAAAAGCAAACTCGACGAGTAGCTTTAAGGGCAATTATGTCAATTGTGGGAAGTTGGGACACCGTTCGATAAACTGAAAGATGCCAAAAAAGAAGAACGAGGTGAACCAAGAAAACATCGATACTAAAGAGGAAGAATCACTCGATCTAACATGTGTTGTCTCTGTGACAAACTTGGTAGGATCGAAAAAGAAACGGTGGTGACTTGATACGGGAGCAGCACCCACATTTGGATAGACATGAATCAATTCTCCTAGTTCGAGACTATCGAATGAGAAATGATGTGCATAGGGAATGCAGCTTCTGCTGAAGTCAAATTGAGAAGAAATTTCCTTTTGAAGATAATGTCTGAAAGAATTGTAACACTAACCAATATTTTGTATGTGCCAGTGATGTCGAAGAACCTGGTCTCGGGGACACTCCTGATGAAACATAGTTTTAAAATTAATACGAATGAAGATAACTTTATTTTGTGTAAATTAGGAGTGTATGTGGTTAGCGATATGTAGATGATGGACTTATAAAATATTGTATTATGACAGTTATGTAAACTAATAATAATAAGTTTGTTGTTTATATTGTTGAGTTTTCGACTTTATGCAATAGTCGATTGGGTCATTTTAATTATGATTCTATATCGATTAATTTGTGTGGAAGGAAAAAAAACTCAACTATCATTCCAAACGATTCAACATGAAACTGAACTACTCGAATTGATTCACAGTTATGTATGCGATTTAAAAATCGTAGAATATGTAGTGGTAATAAATATTTTATTTCATTCATTGATGATTGTACCAAATTACGCTATTTTTATTTACTTAAAAGCAAAAATGAAGCACTGAGTAATTTTTTTTTTTTTCAAACATGAATTGGAAAATTAACTTAACAAATGAATTAAAAGTGATAGAGGTGAAGAATACGAAACTCTGATTGGTGAATTTTGTGCACAAAATGGGATAATTCACGAAGTAACACCACCTTACTCACCTCAATCAAACGGCATTGTTGAACGCAAGAATCACACACTAAAGAAAATGATGAATGCAATTTTGTTAAGTTGTGGACTTCCCAAAACATGTGGGGTAGGCAATTTTAAGCAATAGCTATCTACTTAGCTTAATTCCTCAAAAAAAATGTAGAAGACCCCTTATGAGTTTTTTGGAAATGTTGAAAACTATCTTACGAACACCTTCAAGTATAGAGGTGTCTAGCTAAGGTAGTGGTGCCACCTCCTAAACATGTGAGAATCGGTCCTAAAACAGTGGACTGTATTTTTGTAGGGTATACACATAACATTATAACTTATCGTTTATTGGTATTTTATGAGAATGTTTTAGGTATCTCAAAGAAAATAATAATAGAATCAAAGAATGCATTGTTTTTTTAAAATATATTCCCAGCAAAGGTAAGGGTTGAATCTAATTCGGCCAACCAAGAACATGAATAGTAGATCAAGATCGAATGGAAATAAATTAATCTGAATTTGAACTAGGTCACAAATCTGAGGTTAGAAGAAAAAAGCATGCACAAGTTGAAAAGTCATTTGGAAATAACTATTTTACTTATCTATTTGAAAACGAACCTCAAACATATGCAGGAAATGAGGTATATTGAAGCGTCACTTTGAAAAGAAGACCAGAAAAGTAAAATCAATTATATTATTCAAAATCACATTTGGTAACTTGTAGATCTCCTACCTGGCTTAAAAAATCTTATATCAAAGTGGATCTTTAAGAGAAAATTAAAATTGGATGGCGCAATACACAAGTATAAGGCCAACCTTGTAATCAAAGGTTACATATTCTCCTATCACGGGAATAACATCCATTAGAACTATCCTAGCAATAGTCATTCAATAAAAATCTTGAGGTATATCAAATGGATGTGAAAACTGTCTTTTTAAATGGAGACCTTGATGAAGAAATTTACAAAGAACATCCAGAAGGCTTTACAATTCCAAGAAAAGAAAAAAAAGGTTTGTAGACTTGTGAAATCATTATACCAACTAAAATAAGCTCCAAAAAATTGGCATGAGAAATTCAATCATACTATAATGAACAATGGTTTGAAAATCAATAAATGTGATAAGTGTATATACGTAAAGACTAGCAAGTTAGGCTATGTAATTGTATATGTTTACGTAGATGATATACCTCTCGTTGGTAGCAATAAAAAAATTGTTAAGTCTACTAGAAACATATTAAATTCTAAATTTGACATTAAAGCCATGGGCCTCGCTCATATATTAGGAATTACAATACAATACAAAAAAAAAAAAAAAAACCGAAAATGGTCTAACTTTTGAGTCAAACTCATTATGTAGAAAGAATTCTTAAAACATTTAGCAAGATAATACAGGAATATTGAGAACCCCACTGAACGCAAGTATCCATCTATCCAAGAACCGTAGAGAAAACTTATCTCAAATTGAGTACGCTCGAATAATTGGAAACTTGATATACTTGATAACTTATACCAGACCCGACATAGCTTATGCTAGAAGCAAGTTGGGTACGTATATAAGTAATCCTAGTCGTGAGCATTGGAAAGCCATTATTCGCATACTTAGGTACTTATGATACATTTAATTTGAGATCAATTAGTGGATATGTGTTCATATTAGCTGATACAACAATCTCTTAGATCTCAAAATAAATAATTATTACTAAATCCACAATAGAATATGAGATAAACCTAGAGAAAAGGTGGAATGGATTCGCCCATTTTTTTAGGACATTCCAGAATGAAAAAAACGTATCTCTTCCATTACCCTCTAGTGCAACAGTAAAAATGCTATTGGCATAGCAAAGAGCAGAATGAATTAACAGAAAGAGTTACACATTCTTCATTGATACAATTTCATAAGATAACTTATCACAACTAAGGTTATTGTCATAGACCATGTTGCATCAAAGGTTAACCTAGCGAATCTGCTAACCAAAGTGTTAACCCGTGAAGTAGTTTACAAATTGACTAAAGATGGAGGGTTAAGCCTGCTGAAATATAAATCTTATAAAAAAAAATCCAACTTAGAAAGATTGAAGATCCCAAAAACTAAGTTCAATGGAACAACTCATTTGTTACAGTTATGCGTGTCAGTGTGGGGGCTAATAGTCTTGATCCATTCTTGTCAATGAACGGTGATAGAGTAGCAAATGACAGTTTTAATAATCACTAAAAGAGTGTTGTATCATTCAAAAACTTAAAGAGATCACCTATGTAAAATAGAAGTAGGGCCGCTTCAAAGAAGAGCTGATCATACTCAAATCTTTAGTAACTTTCGCAGAATCAGGATGGATTCCATGGCCAAATCGGACCAAATAATGATAATTGAATTAAGAACATGAATTTTATGCAGTATATAGCTCAGTTACTATGAAACTAAACAGTTCAAGTACAACATGTCTATTACAATTGGTAAAAATTGTGTACTGCTTAAAGAAAAATTCAAAAGAAAACTTACTTATCATATACAGAATCATCATTCCTTCGTCGAGTCATCATTCTTTCCCCTTTCATGTGGGGGATTGTCGATGTGTGAAGGTGAAAAAGAATAAAAAAGAAGAATGTGAAGGGTTTTTGTCCCACATATGAAGACCAAAGAAATCTCACCCTCGTTAAATGCATTGTAGTCCTTTTTACCATTAAAATATTAATTTACACTACAAAAAAGTATCTAATTAGTTACAATATTTTTAACTATGAAATATTTTTGTAGTGAAAATGTGTTCTTTGGAAACAAAAATTAATTTCATCGATAAAATTAATTATGTATAACAAAATTAATTTCGTCACTAAATTTTTTTTTTTTGTTAGAAAATTCTATTTTCAAGATTATTTTTCATAACTAGAATCACTTTGCTAAAAACATCATATATATTTTGTTGCTAAAACTCTTTTATTATAAATTTTAATTTTGTAGCAAAAGAGTTTTAGCTACGAAATCATATTTTCATATTTATATCTCTTTTTTTTAACTTTCATTGCAAAAACTTATTTTTTGTTATGAAATTCATACTTGTCGCCAAAGACCTTTATTAACGCGGTATAGACGACGAAATAAATTTCATTGCAAGAACAGTTTTACTATGAATTCATTACCTTTTGCTATAAATAGCGTTGATTGGATTGGGCTCAACTTGACATGAGCTTGGGCTTATATATGGATATATAGTCAAGATTGGACCTTGGCGTTGTGGAGGCTCGTGGGCTGAGCCCAACCGTAGTAAAATCCAATTAATTCATTGTATTTTATCTGATTAGTTTATTTTGATTGTTAAAAACTCAAATTTAATCGAATGGAGGAAAAAATTTGTAATATATTGCAATGTGTGTTAAAGGGGTAGGGATGGTTACGGATTTTGTGGTCTTCTTTATTTAAACATTTTCATTCTTTTTTCCTTTTCTCCGCATATCTTCTTCCTTACTATGTTAATTTTTCGTTCATCAATTCTCTTGAAAAATCTCTATGAAACTTTCAACTTTTGGTTTTGTTTGTTGCGAAATTATTGATTTCAATCCAATTCATTCTATTTTGAAAATCAATTGACGGCGGACTGAATTTACTTGAAAGAATTTGCGTGCAATGCGAGGTTCGGATCTTGTGTTATTCTATTTTCTTTCTGATTTTTCTCTCATCTTGATTTTCACATATTATACTAACATGCTGATCTCCTATTGATTAAATTAAATCAATATTTATTTGACTCGATTAATATATATAATAAAGATTCGAAAAGGACATGCTTCTACACTTTTATTGTATATGTTGGTCCAATTTGCAGGGAATCTACCTCTATAAATATATACATATACATATTTCAATCCATCAAAAAAAAGTTACCTTCTCCTTGCCTTTAATTTCTCATCTCCAACTTTCCTTGATCATCACATATTTGTAAAAACTATTTATAACTAAAGGAAGAAAATGCAGCAATGGCTATGATGGCTAATAACTCTTCTATCCCTTCAATTTCATGTAATATTATCATACCCTTAATTCTTGCCCTTTTCTTTCTCATTGTTTCTCCCTCGTCATTTTCTCCAAACCCTAATCAATTTACATCTCACACATCCAAGGTATGTTTCTCTCTCTATGTTTTACACATTCATAAACTTATAATTCTGAAAACCCTAATTTTCTGATTATATCTGCTTCGAGCTATGGCTATGGCCTCCGGAGTCCTCGTTGCGAGCTCCGTGGAGTCCAGCACCAGATGAGATATCCTTAAGGGTGAAACCCATCCTCAGTACCGTTTGAGTCTTCCATATTCACCCGGCGCAGGGGTCCCGGGAGCTCCCCGTAATAACCCCGGTTTCTTATAATATATATATGTATATAATTTTCCGGCAGGGTTTTGTGGTGGAGGGGAAGGCGAGGTTGGGGTCGGCGCCGCCGAGCTGCCACAACAAGTGCAACCAGTGCCGGCCGTGCGCCGCCGTGCAGGAACCGACGATTCCGGGCCGCCGGCGAGCCGAGCCAAGTTCACTCAGTGAGTCGCCGCCGGATGTAAACAGGTGCTCCAATTACAAGCCGCTCGGATGGAAGTGCCGATGCGGCGGCCGTTTTTACAACCCTTAATTTTATTTAATTAATTGATTAATTGATTGAATTATTGTTTTTTAGAAAAAAAAAAAAAAAGAATTTGAATTAATATTTTGTATGCTGTGTGATAGTATTTAATTATTTTAAATTAAAACTTTGGTTTCAGGTGTAGCATTTAATATTTTCTGGGTAGTGTGTACGTACCAAATCAATTAATAATTGGACTATATATATATATATAAATATTTGTGTTTTCAGATTTATTTTGAAAATAATCTTTTTGATAAGTTTGATAAAATTTCGGTTTAAGTATAGTATTAAAATAACTTTTTATGGAATATTTTATGAGAGAAAAAAATATATTTTTTTTAAAAAAAATATAGAACCCAAATAATAAAATTTGAAAAATTTGGATCAAAAGAAACATTTTCTTTTTTAAACATTAAAAATAGTAAAAACTACGCGGTGTGTTTTATCTCCAATAAAATATGTTTATAATTTTTGGTATGAGTTTTAATGTTAGTGTATATTGTTTATTGTTTTTTATCTTTAATAATAAAAAAATAGAATAAATTATAGTATAATTTTTTACTATATAAAAATTTAAAATAATTTTAAGAAGCACCCAAATAAGAAAATTGCGTTTATTTTTAAGAAATGAGAGAGCATTATTTGTGTCCCCATATGAATGTATTTATTTATTTTTGTACATATATTTTATAATGTTAATATTTTACATGTATATAATACAACATTGAGATTAATTTAATATTTAATGTGATTTTTCTTATTACCTTTTTCGTCCCAAATACTGCGTGATATTTTGAGTTCGACACGAAAATTAAAATGGGTAGTAGTAAGTAAGATAATTTAAAATAATTTAGTAGAGATTATGTTATGTAATTGGAGAGAAAAATGTATGTTTATTTTTTTTATTTGGATGATATGATGGGATAAAGTGAAACGTATATATAATTATATATATAATTAATTATTTTTAAATTCAAAAATATTACAGTGAGTTCGGGATAAACAAAAAAAGAATATTGCAGTGAGTTTAAGACAAAAAAAATAAAAAAATATTGCAGGATATTTAGGACGAACAGAACAGAGTATTAATTATTACTTTATTCATGATGCGTGAATTTACATACGCTACTATTAAAGTGCATTCTGAATAAACTTTCGATCAAATTTAATAGTTTTTAAATTAAATTTGACAAGATAAGTCACATATTATAAAATTATTATTCTTATTTGATGACATGAATACCAGTACCTGTGCTACTATTATACATCATGAATAAATTTCTGATCGAATTTAATATTCTATCAATTAGACAAGATAAAACAAGTCACGTAAAGTGAAGTTAATAATAATAATAATAATTATTATTATTATTATTATTATTATTATTATTTTATGGGAACTGTGAAATAATTATTTGTAACAGTACTGATGGATGTTGTGGCATCGAAGAAATTTATTTTTAGAGATACTAGAAATTTAATGTTACTGATGTTTTCCAGACTGAAATTTGGTTGTTGCTTTAAATCTACCGGCAATAAATTTCCCCTTTGACTCTCGAGACCAGTAAGTAATTAAGTGAAGGAGGGTTTTTTTCACTATTTCTTTAACAAAAAAATCATTACTACTTATATTCTATCTATATTTTTCTGATCATATATATATATATATATATATTTTTACTACAAGCTGGTTAATTAAATACGCTATCTTATTTGCATTTTAATTTCTAATTTAATACTTCCTCCATCTCATTTTTCATGTCAATTTTTTCATTTCAGTCCGTTTTATTTATTTTGTTATTTTTTCTTTTTGGAAAAGACTTATACACTTGAATCTTATTTTAAAAAATTTAATTTATAATTTTTTAATTTTAATTATATTAATCAGTTATTTTAATCTTAATCTATAATTATTTTTATTATACGATAATTATTTTTACTAATATATTTTAAATTATTTACTAATTACATCCCTCTTAAATTTTCGTGTTTACAGTAAAGTGGACAAAATATTCGAGACACAGGGAGTATATTATAACTAGTACATGATAATTACATAATGCAAGATTCAATATATTTTTTTGTCGTTTTTTTTCTATATATGAACTAAACAAATTATTCTAAATTATTCTTGTCCTCTCTATTTCGGTAGTCCATAGAGACCATCAGAAAAACACTCATACATAATTGTTGGGAGAATATTGAAAGAATGCCAAAATGCAAACCAAAAATAGATTCAATGTACTCCTTAAGCGTGGTCACGCCTAAGCAATGTGTTTAACCTGTTCCACCAAAATCTTTGCCTTCAATCAATTATTTTTTCTACCAATAGAAGATGAATGATAACCACCGATAAACAACAGAAATAACAATATGAGACACCAAAATTTTTAACTTTGAAAACTCATTCAAAGTGAATAATAAAAATCACGAGGCCTATCACCCGACCCAAGGTAAAATTTACTATATCAAAAAAGGTTCGTACAATCAAAAATAACCACAACCAAAAGGGCTATCAAACTCCACACCCAATTACAAGAATCGAACCCCAATCACAAGAGATCTCCCAACTACAAATAACCCATTTCAATCCCCAACCAATAAGATTCAAAATTGAATCCAAACAAATGAGGAGAAATCAACGATACCAAAAGGAACATCCGAAGATGACGAGACCGTTGATCGAAATCAAGTTGAAGAAATTTTCTCTTGCTTGTTTATTCTCTCGCGTGCGTGAATAACGATTATACCTCTCAATCTCTACGCCCAATTGGCCCCCCTCCCAACTAAGACGGCTAGAGCAACAATGGGCAAAAGTGGACTTTCAATTCTTTTTGGGCTAACTTGAATTGTTGGGCCTCCAACACATAGAAGGACCAAACCCAACCATAACAACCTAATGAAAATATTGTTGAATTGAATTGAATGTTGCACTAGCACCAAAACATACATTAGAGAGAAACTCAAAATTAGACCATCACCAGCCTTGTATAAATGGAGTTAGGACCCTCCCATCCGGAAGGGTGCTTTTTTATTTATCTCATTTTTATTTTATTTAATTATAAATTATATTTTTCTGCATCTATTTTTTTTAAAAAAAAAAATAAAATTATTCTCTCGTCACACTCGAATGTAGTGTTTTTGAGTTTTATAGTAGATTAAAAAATAATACTATTATTTTTTCTGGTTGGTGAAAATGTGTAAGGGATTTTTATATTTTTGTCATTTGATTTTATATATATAATAATTGTATACATATATGTTTATAATTAGTAAAAGTTAAGAATATTTTGATATTAGTGTAAAGTTAATTTTACAAAAATATGACAGATACTTTTGAGTGAGACAAGCGAAAATGACAAAAATGATACTTTGATTTTCTTAATTTTTCTTCTATGCATTCTAATTGACCAATAAAAATCAAATTTAATTCTAAGTCAAGAATAAATTATATGTCAAGAATATATTGGAAAAGAAAAGGCACAAGATTGATCTGAGCAATATGCATAACAGTACTATTGACAATATAAATACATGGTAATAGGAAAACATGAGATAAGGGAGAAAATTTATGAAAAGTTGATCGATAAAACAGAATTGTAACCAAAATTAAAATACCAAGGAGATACACTTGAATTGACAGATAAAATAGAATTGTGATGGACAATCTGTTTGAGGATGACTTATAAGTCCTGAAGAGTGTAAGGCAAGTCCTGAGGCTTATCAATAGAAATAGTTGTGACTGAGAAAGTAGTAGTCGATAAAGAATAACAAGTTGATGCCGGAAAATAGAACTACCTGAATATCTGAAAGTAGTGCTAACCAAACACTAAGATCTGGTAAGATAATTTAAAGAAATATGAACCCAAAAGTGGCACATGTGATACTCAATCTTAGAATATATGGCAAAAGTATGGTCAGAACTTCTACAAATTTGGCATCTCCCATAACCAAGCGGTTGAGACTGAGATAAGACATAACTAATGATGAATGAGAACCTGATGTCTTATGTAATTGAAGTCAACTCTTATCATTTATAATTTCCTGAATGGCAACATCAAGAATAGATAAAATATTACGTTGTAATAGGCATACACGAAAAATCTTATACTCAGGGCAAAGAACTATCAAGATTTGAATGTATCAAGATATTCCTAACTAATCTTAGTCCGTTGTAGGTAATACCAAATAGGTTAAATTTGTGTAAGAAACCTATTTATTGATTGATTAGGTTCCTACCGAATGGAACTCAAAGTGCTCCGAAACTTATTGAAATGGATTAGGATTATCTTCATGAATCAAACTCGAAGACAAGTATCTAATATGTATTCGGGAACTTACAAATGTTGAATCAAACATCGAAATAGAAATAGGATAAGTTGAATTCCAAAAGCAATCACTCCTCTCGAGCAAGCACTTTCGAGAATCCACGGACTGTCCGAGGCTGCCGATGCATCTTCCGTCTCTCACGCAATTGCATCTGAAGCTCAACAATCGAATTGCCCTCTCGGCGGATGGAATCACTCCAACTCTAAGAAATCTCTCCAAAGCTAGGTTAACCTTCTCTAAAAAAATGTTCTCATCTAAGTTGTGTGTCCATCAAGAAAATAAAAAAGGCTATATATACTAAATGACAAATTAATCTAAGCCACACATCTTAAGTGGCAAGCTAATCTAAATCACACATTTTGATTAAGATCAAAGGATCACAACCTCCAAGCAAACAAGTAGCTTCGACCGGGTTCGGGTTGCAATCGGTCTGTCTAAGTTCGGGTTCGGGTAATCCGGAGCCGTGTCATCCTCTCCCCCTTCGGCTGCCTTGTCCCCAAGGCTAGTAGTAGCATTTTCGGCTGCCTTGTACTCAAGGCTAGTAGCATCTTCAGCGTGATAAAAAAGGCTCAAATCGGCAACGTTGAAAGTCGCATTCACACCCAAGTCTTCCGGAAGTGCAATCTGGTATGTATTATTGTTTATGCGCTCCAACACACGAAATGGACCAGCTCCATGAGGAGAAAGTTTCCCACGCTGCAGCTCCGGAAAGCGTTCTCTACGCAAATGTACCCATACCCAATCTCCGGATCGAAATATCACGCATTTTCTTCCGCAATTG